CCTGCTGGGCTCCGGCAATCCTTCCGCCTCAGCCTTCCGAGTAGCCAGAATTACAGGCGCTCGCTACCACGCCCAGCTACCAGCTAATCTTTTTATTTTTGTATAGAGACGAGGTCTTGTTATGTTGCAAGGCTAGTCTCATACTCCTGGGCCCAAATGATCCTCTTGCCTCCGTGATCTGATTTGTAAAAGCTAAGTAAAAAGTCCTGACATAAAGAGGGCGTCAACTCGTTGGCTTCCCACACAGTGGTGACAGATGACCTAAATGCAGCACCCTGTTTCCAGGGGAAGTAGACGGAGGTTCCCACTGCGCAGCTGCCCTTTCTCACCCTGACTCCCGTCTCCCTCTCTTACTGTCTTTGGCCACAATGCCCCTATTCTGAGGTCCTGCTGGCCCCACAGCAACCGCATGGCCTGGTGCTGCTCCCTCCTCCTGTCTGGCACCATCCTTCCTCCTGCTGACTTCCTTCTCCAAATGTTTTCTCAGGTGGTTAAGCTGAAAGGCCAAGTCCTGTCGGTCATGTATCGATTTCGCACCAAGAACCGGGAGTGGATGTTGATCCGCACCAGCAGCTTCACATTCCAGAATCCCTATTCCGACGAGATCGAGTACATCATCTGCACCAACACGAATGTCAAGTACGTACTTGGCTGGTTCCCTCTGCGGGGAGCTATGTGCCCTTGCCAGGCCCAGAGCTGGCCATTTTATTGGGCATTCTTTTCTCCCCACAGGAGAGCAGAAATAGGGGAGACTGTGCATTTCGATCACTGCTTCCCTCCCTCGTTGCTCTTTTTCACTGCCCTCCTGATTTGTAAGAACCAAGGGGACCGAGCGAGGACCCCTGACACTCCTCCTCCTCTAATGCAAAATGCTCTCGTCTCCAGTCCTCTTTCTCTTCCCGCTGAGTATAAAACCTAGCCAAGTGGAGCTCTGCTGCCCTCACTGCTTCCTGCTGCAGCAGCTGCTTCTGACTGGTTTTTTGTTTGAGTTGGGGTCTTACTCTGTTGCCCAGGCTGGAGTGCAGAGGCAGGATCACAGCTTACCGCAGTCTTGACCTCCTGGGCTTAGACGTTCCTCTTGCCTCAGTCTCCTGAGTAGCTGGGACTATAGTCGTGTGCCCCACACCCAGTTAAATTTTTTATTATTTGTAGAGATGAGATCTTGCTATGTTCCCAGGCTAGTCTCGGCCTGCTGGGCTCAGGTGATCCTCCCACCTCAGCCTCCTCAGTAGCTGGGACTGCAGACACCTGCTACCATGCCCAGCTAAATTTATTATTTTTGTAGAAACAGAATCTTGCTGTGTTTCTTGGTCCTGCTGAAGCCAGAGGTGGAGGAAGAGAGGCTGAGCCTCTTGGCAGCTCTAGGGCATGGGCCAGGTGGCCTGGGGGCAGGTACCACAGGGACACATAGCTTCTCTGCTGTCCAGTCATCAAAGCATTCCTCCCTGCTCAGTGCCTGCTGTCATCACTCTTTTATCCCCTGCAGTTGCAGAACAACTTGGGCTCTGGTCTTAGCCCTGCTGCTTGGTAGCTGTGGGACCTTGAATGAGTCACCTCATCTCTTAGATTTCACTTCCTTGTTTTCAAAATGGGGTGATGATACCTCCCTCACAAAGTTGCTGTAAGGATTCAATGAAGTTAACCTACAGGCCATACACAGGGTTCAACCCCAGCCCAGTGACCATTACCTTGGGCAGGTCATGCCTCCTCCCTGCGTTTAGTGTCAAGGAAATGCAAGGCCCAGCCACCAACACGAATAAGCTCACTTGGACAAAAGGACATCCCGGTACCTGTGAGCATGTGGGAGCCATGCCCAGTGTGTCAGGGAGGACTGTGGCCTGCAGGAGGGTGGGGTGAGGCTGGCATCAGGAGGGCTGTCCTCCTGTCTCCCCATCATGGTCAGTGACACTCTGTCCTCCGTTGTCCCGGTTCAACACTCAGTTGGGAATCTGTTTCCAACTCCCCACCTCCTTTTCCTCGTCTGCTGACATTTCTGGGCAGCATCCCTGCCTCTGGGCAGTCACTGTGGCCTCCTGGCACCCTCAGCGCTTACGTTCCACTATTGCCATCCCCTTGGGGGGTTCCTGTTTGGGCCCCACAAAGCAGCCACTTTTCCAGGCAGCACTGCCCTCTGCATCCTCAGCCTTGGCCCTGCTCCTAGGCTACAGGCACAGAATAGGACAAACAAGCACAGGCGAGACCCCTCAGGGCGGGTGACCCGAATTTCAGTCCCGCTCCCAACTGGGCAAGTCACCTGCCCTTTCTAAACCTCAGTTGCCTTATCTGTAAAATGGGGAGAATCATAGAGTTTTTCTGTACTTCCTGCATGGAAACATTGCATGTGAGCACACTACCAGAGTACCAGCAGAGTCAGCCCAGGTACATAAAATGTCACTGAAATGTCATCAGCTGCAGCACCGGCCCCAACACCTTGGGGCAGTTTCTTGGTCAGCTCTTGCCGGCAACCCCAGGTCTTGTTTGGTCTCCCAGGTGTCCTTCCTGCTTTCTTTTTCTGACGATGGGCAGAGCACCTTGCCTCCCAATGAACAGAGACTCTAGGGCCCTCCTGATGATCTGCCTTGAGCATGCCCATCCCAGTGCCCTCCTCTCCTCCCCTTTTTTTTTTTTTTT